GAGTTTCAACTGGTAAACCTTGACGACGTGCAGCATTTACGGCCTGCTCTGTTTTTAATGCTGACGCCTTTGGCGGTTTCTTCCGTAGAATTGTGACTGTATCCCAGTCAGACATTTTAAGTTTGGAATAACTGGTGTTTTGAAAGAGATTAATGTGAATACAATTGAAGCTAAGTTTAAGTTTTTAATATTACTGCACCGCATGCGGGCACGTTACCACAGATTCAAAATTTTATAGCTTGAAAATTGTTTTTTTTTTTATGTACAGCCTAGAAAGAAAAAACCTTAAAGCCAACTTTTTTTATGAATGTTAAAAGAATTATGGTAATATAGTTTCTATGGTGTTATTCTCACTTCAGGGAATTTTCTAACAATAAACTAATTGAGAGCCGTGATAGCTCAGTGTCCGGGCGCTCGCCTTTAATTCAATATATTCGAGTAACCTGAGTTCGATCCCCGGTGCCGGCACCAATGAAGTTTTTAGCTTTAAGTGCTGGCTTATCACGTGCTACGCGGTGAAAGAAAACATCCTGAGGAAACCTGCATATTTTCGAAATAATAACAAAAAAATATATATTTTGAAGTCCGCCAATCCGCCTGCTGGTCTATGCCCTGATACTCTCTGTATAGAGGAGGCCTTTTCCCCAGCAGTGGGACATGTATAGTTTACTTTACTTTAAACTAAATTATTTGAAAAAGTTTTTTTTTTGGTCTCAATTTGTTGTCACTGATACAGTTTTGTGACGATTATAGATTTGATTTGTTGCCGTATTCGATATACGATTTGTCATATGGTAATTGATAAATTGACTGAACCTTTTTCTTGATATTGACCATAATTTTTTTTTTATTGACCTTAATTTTTCAAACAATGAGTTTTGACGTGAAACATATATAGCCGCGCGTAAGACCAATATCTGTCGTGGAGACGCATGCCGTGGCGACGCGTCGCTACGCTATATGATGGTATATATATATATATATATATATATATATATATATATATATATATATATATATATATATATATATACAGTCTATATGCAGTAGTGTGTACGATTAATTACTCATTTAAATTAATTGTTAATAATTATTTATTAATTAAATTAACTTTAATTAATTGTGTGTACTATTACCGAAGTCACTGATTAAACGAATGAAGTAGTCACGATTTGAAATAAATTATACCATACCACGTAGGACACTCTCCTAGAGGACATCGAGCCATCGCACACCGCCTACTGGCGGTTGGCCCGCAGTCTGAAAGCAGACCCCCGCGAATCTCTACCGCCGTTAGTTAGACCTAATAGCGCTTCAGTAGCCCTAGATGACTCCGAAAAAGCCGAATGCCTTGCGGACAACCTAGAGCAGCAATGAACGCCATCGCGGGAACACATCGATACAGCCCACTTAAGGGAGGTGGACCGCGTAATCGAGATTAGGGCTGCGCGGAAGGCGATCCTTTGAGTTCAGTGACCCCCGAAGAGGTCCAAGACATTATTAAAAATTTGAAACCGAAATCCGTCCCAGGTCCAGATAATTTTAGTAACAAAATTTTCAAAGCTCTCCCTGGGCCGCTTATCTGTTTACTGGCGACCATTTTCAATACTTTACTCTCCAGTTGCTCCTTTCCGGGCGACTGGAAAGAAGCCACGGTTATCGGCATTCGCAAGCCGAATAAACCAGCCAACCAGCCCTCTAGTTATCGTCCCACCAGCCTCCTCAGTTGCCTGGGGAAGCTTTAGAGCGGCTTCTATTAATCCGGCTCAAAGAGCACGTGTTTTCCAACGGCCTTCTGCCGGCGGAACAATTCGGCTTTCGAGCTAGACATTCCTGCCCCGATCAACTATTCCGCCTAACGGAGCATATCCTAAAAGGCCTAAATCACCCTAAACATTTTAAACATTAGTACAGGGGCAATTTTCTTCGATGTCGCAAAAGCATTCGACAAGGTCTGGCACAACGGCTTGCTGTACAAGCTGTACACACTCAAAGTGCCAGATAGGCTCGTACACACCATCGGGGCCTTCCTATCCAACCGCTCTTTTCGATATCGAGTTGAAGGCACCCTCTCCAGAAGCCGCCGCCTCACGTCCGGTGTACCACAAGGCTCCTACCTCTCACCTTTGCTCTTTACGCTCTACACGAGCGATATACCTAAAGACCCCCGCGTCAATCTCGCGCTTTTCGAGGATGACACGGCGCTCTTTTATTCAGATCGCAACCTTAGTCAACTAACCACTCGACTCCAAAGAGCCGCCGACCGCCTCGGCGATTGGTTCCGCAAATGGAGAATAGAAATAAATCCCGGAAAGAGTGTGGCGATTCACTTCACAAGAAGTACTTACCCGTCACATCTTTATAATGGCCCTCACCAATGCAGAAAGTTGGGGCAAATATCCGTTTATGGCCAACCGCTCCCCTGGGAGAAAAAGGTAAAATACTTAGGAGTCACTTTTTTTTTTTTTTTATTTATTTGCACTTTATTGCAATTACCTTAAGCAAGGATTACAAAGGGCGAACTTAATGCCTTTAGGCATTCTCTCCCAGTCAACCCGGGGCGTGGAGATAAATTGTGGTAGGTGCAATAAAAAGAAGAAAAAAAAACAAGTACATTACTAATGTGAATGAAATATACAATGTATGGAATATACACACGCTTAAATAAATATAAATACTTACATACATATACAAAATAAATATATATATATATATACAAATATACAATACATATTATATATAAAAACACTAACATATATATACATAAATACAAACATATAAACGATATTGAAATAATGATTAAATTTAACATTCAGATGTTAAGTAAAATTCGCGGACTTTGCGTTTGAATGAGGCCTTGCAAGGGGCACTACGTATGTCTTCAGTTGTGAGTCACCGAAGAAACTAGAATTATGTGGAGGAATAGAAATTTTGAGGTTAGATGAAGAACGGAGGTTTCTTTCGTTGTTTTGATAGAGGTATTTAAATTTATCTTTAAGATAGGATGGTGAAGCTGGGTCATTTAAAATCGAAAAAAGCATGAAGAGAATTCTTGAATTCCGTCTTTGTTTAACTGTAAGCCATTTAAGTCTAGTGCGATAGGGAGTAATGTGATCACATTTTCGAATGCCGAAAACGTATCTGATACAGTTGTTGGATAGGCGTTCAAGCACTTTCGACTCGCGTATGTCATTTACTACGCGTATTAATAACGTTTGCAATAGAGCCGCGTTCGTCTTCGGCCGGCTACACAATTTAACCAACCCTAAAAGTAAAATGCCTTTAAGGCACAAATTATTATTATATAAGACCTGCGTACGACCTATTATGTCCTACGCATGCATGACCTTCACCCACACGCACCCTCGCTTGTACAAGTTGCAAATAGTACAAAATAAGTACATCCGCCGCGCAAGTGGTGTGCAGTGGTATCAACGCAACGTTGACCTGCACAACGATTGCAGACTCCCGACGATTCGCGAATATTTTAAAGACCTGACCAAACGGTTCTCCGATAGAGCCGAACATCATCCCAACCATCTGGTGGTAAGCGCAGCAAATTACCAACCCGACACAAAGCGAATGTCAACAAGCGTCGCCCGCGAAACGTCCTCATCGACCCGGTCGAGGAAGGGGACTTAGGTACGTCGGACTCACCACCGGGGGTCCTGCCGGATAGCACTACACCCACAGTTAGTGCAACAACAAACACTTTAGTTCGCCCTCGCCTCCGAGCACGGCGAGACCAACACAACGCGTACACAAGGTACACGCGCGTTTCGGGGCGTTTCTCACCGCTCCCAGCCACCGATTAGCTAATTGCACAGTCGACAGCCATCGGGGTTTCGGTCCGAACCGCGACCTCGATGGCCCTTAGATGACACACCATAGTTAAACGCACGCATAAGCACATGCGTGGCCCTACCCACAGCGGAGGGCCCAAACCCGTGGGATTCTGGCTAGCCCACCGGTTCTGCGTCAGATGAAGCTTTAATAGTCTCGGGACTGAAAGCAAAAACATCAGTTAATACAATGTAAAAAGTTGCTAAGAGAGCAGACGTTTCACCTGATGTTTAGTGAATACCGCCGCCCATGGACATCTGCTACACCCGAGGGTTTGCAGATGTGTTGACAACCTTTTTGGAAATTGGGTTCCGGCTACCTCACTCATCAGACAAAGCGCGATAGTATTATATTTTCACTTTACGCCGGTCTTCTGTGAGGTCGTGGTACTTACCCGGACGAGCCTGCCCATTCGTGCAACAGCCGAGGCTGCTGCGTGGCCCTACCACCGAAAGTGTTAGTAAGGATGTATTATTTTGTCGTTATATAAACACTCAGACATTCCACTATTTGACCAATGATATAAAATTATTGTTTGTTATAAGATTAATTCAAGTATAGAATAAATTATTTCTTTAACCTTTTGCTACTCCTTTTTTCTCAGGGTTACTCTCCAAAGGAACTAAATTGACATTAGAGAGTAATCTAATAATTCGTGAAACCCAAAAAAATTTACGTGGGTCGTGTAACTTTTGCTGAGAATCTTAATTAGAAATATCTAATAACATAATATGTTATATAATATATTGAAATACATAGATTTCGAACGAGCCAGTAAGCTATTTTTAGGTATTGAGCCATTATGTTATTTTCATACCTATATACGATTTGTATCGCCCACTTATAAAAAAAATATAAGTAGCGCATGTCACCAACTTCCCAGTCCTGATGATTTAATTCAGTATTATGTATTATGATATAATTAGAAAAAAAATTAATCTGCGATCAAGTGATGACAACTGACATCTGACACCTGACCTGTAAGCATAGATAAGACATAAAGAAAGTTGTATTTGATTTGAATTGATTTCGGGCGAGCAATGTTTTTTACAATCTTACAATAATACGAGTTAGTTTGTCATTTTCTAACTAATATACTCATTTTTATTAAAATATCAAATATTTCACGGAATACTTTGATTGCAAACGCAGATATTATGTCGTTTTCATTTGGCTCCAATAATACTCAGCAAACGGCACCGTTTGGAAACTCTGCAAAACGTATGTTTTTAAAAATCTTATTGCGTTTTATTAATAACTAGGATATTTAAATCTGTAACTAATTATAATGTACGTAAAATAATTTCAGTATATTTTAGGGAACTATATTAACAGATTTTGCATGTCTCGCTACTTTTTGTATAATGTCTAAGACCCTCAAATAGTTATTAAAAATTTTAAGATGTACTTTACCATTATAATATTTTCCTTAACCACATAAGGAAAAATTACAAAATTTCCTATATACTAGTGATGGACATTTGAATTAAACTTAAGTGTGATAGCAATGTAAATGATCAGTAGAATACTTAGACACTGTCTCATAAATGTAATCCGATAAAATATAATAATTAAATTTTTCAGCTACTTTTTCTTTTGGAAGCACAAATACTGCCACAACCAGTACTGCTGGTTTTGGTGGATTTGGGACAGCTACATCTTCTGGGTTTGGTGGATTTGGATCAACTGCCAGTAATACAGGTTGTTTTAATTTCAAGTCATCATGTACAATATCTGCTATAATTAACTTAACTTTCTTATGTTATTAAGTATCTTGTCAAATTTTGTATTGATAAAACCAATGATATTTTAGACTAGATATATATTGTTAATGCGCTCAAAGTGAATCCACAAAAACGACGAAACATACCCAATACAATTCCAAAGTTAACAAAATACAAAGGATCTCATATCTTGTGCATAATGCAATATATCTTCGGCAAATGGAAATAACTTTAACTCTTCCGTAATTAAATTAAAATAAATTTTAAACAATAGAGAAAAATCTCTAATGAATGAATCAACAAGCAGAATTCGGTGGTCGCTTATAGTTTTCGAGAAAAAAATATTTAAAACTTGTTATTTTTACTAAGAAATCCACCATTTTATTTATTTCACTTCAATAACTCAATACACAGTTCTGCCAACATGATAAATATAGGAAGCAGGCGACATCATACTCGCGACATCGTATCGATAGTCCGATTTTTTTTTATTTAATGCGTCACAGAACCGACACAGAGCGAATCCGACTCGGATAGATTAGGTTCGATTCAATGTTAGGTTTTTTTTTATGACCACCAAGAAATACAAGCAGAATTGACATATTGACAACAAAAAAATGGTCAACAACAAAAAACTATTTCATTATTTATTTTTTCGAAAACTTTAAGCGACCCCCGAATTCTGCTTGTTGATAAATTCCTTAGTGATTTTTCTCTATCGTTTAAAATTTATTTTAATCGAATTACGCCAGAGTTAAAGTTATTTACATTTACCATATCTTCAATTTATTAGCACATTTTAATTATTTTCCTTATAATTGGAAGTACAAACACTTGAATGGTGATTTTGTAAGGGTATAACATATGTATAGAGCAAAATACATAAAATATCATTGGATTAAACTATGTTATTTTGTAAAAATCTGCAATAATCATCTAAAAGACATGATTTTTGTCTATTCATTTTAATTTGGCAAAATTTTAACTAAAATCATTGCTTTGTAGCCACTCCTTTTGGAACACAATTAGGTACTACACCAGCAACTACTGCACCATCACTGTTTGGAGGTACAGGATTTGGAAATACTGCTGGAAAACCTGCTTCAGGCAAGCTTACATTTACATTATATTTGTGTACAAATATTAATGTCTAGTTAAATTGTTAATTGTGTTTTTATGTTAAAAAGATGGGATAAAAGTAATTATAAAATTAGGAAAATATAATAATACTTAAAAATATTAAACATATTATTAGATAGAAGTTAAAGTAGTCCTGCTAAGTGCTTTATGTATCAGGAATATAACTTATGGCTATAATGAATACATAATTGTTTTATTTCATAACTAAATTTATTTTAATAATATTTAATAGTCATTGTATAAATCCATGTGATTAGTAAAATCTTGTGTCTTTAAATATAGATTTTTCTAATTTGATTACATTTTTGATGTTTAACTAATGTTTTAGGTTTTGGTTCGGGTTTTGGTACAAACACATTTGGCACTGGAACAACTTTTGGAACTGGAACTTCAGCATTTGGAAGTGCAGCCCCCACATTTGGAACCAATACTTTAGGCTCAAACACCTTTGGCAATACTGGTTTTGGAACTGGTACAACATTCGGTACTGCATTCGGAAATAAGCCTGCAACCACTGGGTTCACAGGGTTTGGATCAGGCCTCGGTAACACAAGTGCATTTGGACAACAACTGCAGGTGCTTCATTATACATGTTATATTTTTGTAACATTTTTATTCATGGACAGCTATTATTATTTGCATAACTAAAAACAAAAAAATTAAATTTCATTAAATGAAATGTGTACTAATGATTTTATTTTCAATACACAATATTTAACTTATTTTATTTTTGGGTTCCATGCCCAAAGGGTAAAACAGGACCCTATTACTAAGACTCCACTGTCTGTCTGTTCGTCAGTCACCAGGTTGTATCTCATATAAAAAAAGGGCCTAAATAAATGTCAACAACATTCATGATTTAGAATAAATAAACTTTTTATTATTGTATTGGTTGTAAATGTGTCAAGCTCTAGACAAATGGCATGCATGGTATTTTACGTAGATGTTATACAATCTAAAGTTGAATAATACAATCGGCAGCAACAGCAGCAACAACAGCAACAACAACAAGGTCCCACGACTGCTCATGAGGCACTCGTAGCAGCCGTATTTAACTGTTGCGTATTTGGTGATGAGAGGGATCAGGTGCTTGCAAAATGGAATCTACTTCAGGCGCAATGGGGCACAGGTAATGATCATCCTCCTGCCCTTGACCCACCTAGTTGTACCACCCACCTAGGTGTTACGACTGACTTTAAAACAAACCTTAAGAGCAAATACCCACATCTGGAAAAATTATCTGTGGGCCACCCAAATAATTTTTCTGTGTGGGAATCGAACTCACGAGCCCCGGCGCTGGAGGCAATAGCTTAGCAACTGCGCCTCCGAGTCACCAAGGGGACACAGGTAACATAACAAGATAAAAACAAAAACAGTATGATGTTTGAGAGTTTTTTTTTATTTTTTATTACTCACTTTTAGCAGTTCTTTATCAAAGAAAAAAATATGATATGAGTAATGAAATATTGTTTGCAATGTTTCTTTTCTCAGTTAATATATTTTAATGTTATTATAAATTCATAATCACATTTCAGGTCAGGCCTACTACAACAGGAATGCCCCTGCATTGGAGTTGAATGAACAAAATCCACTCTGTCGATTTAAAGCAGTAGGGTATTCAAGACTTGCAGGAAAAGAAGATAAAGATGGTCATGTAGCTATGATGTTTAATAAATCAGAGCAGGAAATAAAGTATGTTTCATTAAGAAACTATGGTATATTCCAACATATAATTCAGTGCTTGTGAATAAATTGCACTCAATATTTTTCTTTCAGAAATAATCAGCAAGCTTTCATAACAATGTTGTCTAATATACTTGGAAATAAACCGAATTTGGCTGTCAATGTTGAATCAATTAAATCTATTGCAGAGAATAAAAGTCAGGTATGAAAGATAGTATTAATATCAGAATATACTGTTATTTATATAATGTAATATGCATTTCACAGCCCTATCTGATTTATGGAAGAAGTATTAGAAAAATTCAAGAATAAACAATTAATTTCAACACTTCACATAGAGAGAAGGATTTTTGCATATGCTAAATCACTACAATAACTATAATTACTAATAATTAAAAAACTGTAAGTCAGTGATAGACTAGTCACCTAGAGGGTAGGACAGATTAACTTGCAATCTAAAGTGCGGTTTTTTTAATTTATGGAAAATGCGGCAAACGAATGTTGGGGTCAAAACTCTGTGTCCGGCCTTTGTGGTAGGAACAGTCTCTTCTTGAAGGTCCCTAAGTCGTATTGATTCGGAGTGGCTGTGTGTAGCACTTTGTGTGAAAAATGGACACAGGACACAGTGGTGGACCACTCATCTTCAAGGTGTTCTCGGTGGTATTTGTTGATTTGATAAGTTGTACAGTGGTGAAACTTTCATCAGATATTAATTCTTGCAATTTCTCACAGTACTCCCGTGATAGTGATAGATGCTATAGAAAATGGGAAGAGATGCAATATATTAGAGCAGCTCTTCGTTTGACGCGGTATAGTGAAAGACGCCGGTTCTGGGGTGCTTTAGCCCAGAGTTGAGATTAGTATTCTCTGTGGCCGAGTCGGGGCTCTATAGAGCTAAAGCGGCAGAAATTACTGTCTAGCTCTATTTAAGACACTGAGCTTTCTGTAAGCCAAATCGATTGACATGACCGCGAAATTGAACGCCGTTCGATATGTCATCGCCAAGAATTCCGATCGGGTCTGTGGAATCTACGGGAGTGCTTTAAAACGAAGGAGATACGACGAAGGATTTCCTCTTTGTCTGATTTCTGGCATTGCGTGCTCACCGCGGGACTGTCGGCCTTATCTTCCAGAGTCAACTAAGAAGCGAAAAGAATGAACAAAAGGTCGGGTTTCTCTTTAGTGGCGTGGACCAATAGTAAAGATGTCATACAGAAATTGTCATACTTTGACGTGACACCAGTGTACTAGTTCTCGAAGGAAAACGAATTAATGTCTCGGCAATTTGAGGAATATACGGGCGCGACCGCGCTTTTGAAGAACTTAGAAACAAAATTCTACTGGCTAAAAGTAACTGATATTCACAGCGCTAGATGCCACCGTAACGGTCCACGCACTATTGTACCTATAATCTTCTCTCCCTATAACTCTTCTTACGAGCAGAAGAATTATAGGGCTTCTGCTTCTGCTGGCGTGATACCTTGCAGGAGCGACCGAACCAAGGCTGCGATCTGTCGCGAATGGGGACCATACAGATTGGAATAAAAAGCACCATACTCTGAAGTACCAGATCGGCGACAGAGGTGGCAACGCCGTGGAAACCTGGCCCCAGATATAGGATGCAAAGAAGGACTGCATGCCATCTCAGTCAGCTGACGTGTAGTGCCACACACGGAGAAAACCTGCAGACCTCATATATACCAAACGTGGTTTGTCGTACCAAAGGGACCAAATAATTCGTTTGAAGACCGAAGTTTTAGTCGCGAACCCGAAAAATTTCATTTGACGTGGATATCGTACGTTTTTAATGTTACATTTGACTCTTGGCCTACTGCATACCAGTATGCGTTTGTAGTATGTTTTTGATGTTTTTATGTGTGAATTTGATAAGCGAGCAGGCTGTTCACCTGACGTTAAGTGATTACCGACGCCCATGGGCTTCTACAAATCCTTTGGAGAGGCATCTGCCTCTCTTATCCGCGTTACAGAACAGACGTTAAGAATTCGGTCCCGGTTATCTCATTCACCAGACGAAGCGCAAAAGTACAACGCTTTCACTTCAATCTGGTCTTCTGAGAGGCTGTCGTATTTCATCAGTCTTGCACGACTTTCCTATTCGTGCAAAAACAGAAGCAGCGTATGTGTACCTACTTATGACGCATGTAAGATGTTATACATGACTAGAAATTTAATCTTTATTTGTGAAAAAGACATTAATGAAATTGATAACGGTTATTACTTCGAATTAACGGTTGATGACAAAAAGTTGTGATGAGTTGCCACGGTAATACCGTGAAGTCGGTTGCTTCGCATTGCAACCAACTCCATCATGTCGCTTTTTAGGGGTCGGTATGCGTGCGCATGCATCGTAAGAATTTTACTCTCATGTTTTTTTAGAAACTTATGAAAAGAAGTACAACTTCAAAAATAATAACGATGGCATGCGCTGCTTTCAGTGCAGTGCTGTTGGCGTTTAATATTCCTGCATATACAACGTGTAGTTTAACGCGTCGACAGGTGGTGGTGTACGTGGTGGACAAGAACGCGGGCGGTGCTCACGTGTCCGCCTCGGAGCTGGCCACTTTTCTGGGCAGCGGCAACGCCCGGAACAGCCTCAACTCCTCGGGCTGCTGCACCGTCACGGCCGCCACCAAGCCCACGCTGCAGATGCTGGAACATTATCTGCAGACCCCGCCCCCCGGTATGTGATCTACGTCGCGTTTCACGGTGGAGACTGTGAAAAAAAAAAAGAAAAGAAAAAGTCCTTCACAAATGGGGATACCTACTATCGCATAGTTACCATGGAAACCCGACAAAGCCCTTCAATACATAATACGTACTACTAATGTTATGTGCTTAAAATCTGTTTTGAACGAATTTAAATTATTTAAGTAACGATAGCATACAAATATCAGAGATATTAAGTGTAATTGAGACCAAATGTATGTACTAAGGGGTTTTATATATCAACTGAGTCGTCGGGCCATAAACGTCAATAGTGTATGCCCGAACATGTTATCGGCAATTCGCTACTTGGGCATGTGGTGTGATCGATGAATCATTGTGGTTCTTTTTCTAGCTAGCTTATTGCTAGCTCATGATTAATCCTGATATTGTGCCGATGCCGCCACAAAGTTATGGTTTTGCTATAGTATCTAAAACTATACGTATTTACTATAATTATTACATTCATGTCATATCACTGGTATGTATAATTTGTTTGTAATGAATAATTTCGTAATGAATAATTTGTTTTCATACTTATACTTGATTAATTCAGAATTGGGTAATAATTGCCTCGAAACTCGGACAGTGATTTACAACGTATTTCTGTTTGTAAATGAATTGATGACCCGAAAACATTATAATAAATTAACAGGACGATATAGAGGACAAAGATTCCGGTGAGGAGCAATACTATCTCTTACTGTTTCTTTATTATTATTTCCCTTATTTGTCCTTTTTTCATCTTACGAAAATCACTATGTGTCTCCATAAGACCCATAAGCCCATAAGTAACCATAAATAAACGATTTACGGCAGTTGATAACATGACGAGTATAGTACGTTATAAACTCCTTATAATAAATCTCTTTCCTACCCTAAAATACCGACGAGTTTTGCTCGATACTGAAACAGCGATCGATTTCTAGCGTTGTCTACTCTAGATGTTTGAAAAGCTTGTGCAAGGAATTTGCGATAGAGGCCCTACCCGTTTGTGCGCCACGCTTGAATTATTATGTCTCTGTTTTATTTACAATTTTTGTTAATTTAATTTTTTCGAGTATTAAACTTTAACTAACGTAAGTTTCAACATGCCAGGTATGGACATGCGGCTATGGAAACAAGCGCAAGCTGATAATCCCGACCCGGACAACTACATTCCTGTTCCCATAATTGGATTCACGGAGGTAAATTTAATATCGTCACAACTGTCTTTTCATTTTGGCAGATAGATTGGGCTGAAATCAGAAATGTTTAATTTGTTCTTTCATAATAATAACATTTGCTGTAACGCTACTTCGTACGTCTTACAAGTATAAAGAGAAAAAAAAAAAAAAACGAAACACGTGCAAAATCCCTGTTTTGTTCATCAGAGTTATCTTCTCGGGCGAACATTTTCTAATCAATAACACGCAGAAGTGGACATCTGCGCTGACGGTGTGACACATCATCTCCGACACAGATAAAGTTCCGGGCGCGGTGCCAGGCGGAGCAGGCGGCCCTGCAGGCGAGCTGGCTGCGGCGCGCCGGCGACACGCTGGACGAGCTGCGCACCAGGCGCGTCGCGGCCGCGGCCAGCCTGGCGCAGCTCGCCGCGCGGCTGCACTCGCTGCGGCACGTGCTGCTGCAGGTGCGACCGGCACACCGCTCCGCTACAACTGCCCTTCCTTCCTTCTCTACCCCTAAGCCCTCACCTTTAATGTCTTCTCTACCTCCCACCACTCTGCCCTTCCTCCTACTGCACTCCCCTACCTCCCACACCTTTTCTCTCTTTTTTCTCTCCAACTCTTATTTTGATTCCTTCTTCTCACCCCCTCTTCCCACCACCACGCTTCCACCCGCCGCACTCTCCACTCATCTACACTTAAACGCGCATGATAATCAATCCCTCTATACTTAACGTCTTCGCTTCCTCTTCCTTTCTTTTCGTCATTCTCCATCACCTCGTTCACTATCAATTTCTCATCGTCGTCGGCCGTGCACGACCTTAGACACTTAGATATATGTAATATCTAAGTGTCTAAGATCATGCTAGATAAAAAACTAATCATTAAAATACAAAAGGGATGAAAGGCCGTACTTATCGCGACTGTTTTGTTCCTGAAACGCATTGACATCCATAAATTCGTATCTATTTATGGTATATCTGCACTTACGCTTTGGACTGTTTTTTTTTATTAATGATGCCCGTTGAATTGGCGTTAAAAAACCACACCTCAAACGTACGCCGAAGATTCACAATGACCGCGCACCATCGACGGGTCGGGACGTCTCGGGTGAATGTCGTCTCATCACCAGTCAGCAATGGAAGTGAAACGTCGGTCGCTCTCGGCAGGTGATCGCGCGTCAGGAGGTGCTGGGCCGCGTGGGCGCCGCGCTCGGCCCCGAGGAGGAGGCGGCGAGGGCGCGTCTGCACGAGCTCTCCTCGCAGCTGGCGGCGCCGCCACTTTTCAACGTAATTACACCCAAAGCTTTTTTTTATGTGAGACGGTGGTAAACGAAACGGCGGTTCACCTGATGTTAAGTGATAACCGCCGCCCATGGACATTTGCAACACTCTTAGGGTTGCAGATGCGTTGTCACCTTTTAATGAAGTGGACCCCTTCCACCTCACTCACCAGACGAAACGCAGAAGTGTAACACTTCTACTTTAGGCCGGTCTTCTGTGTGGTCGTGGTACTTACCCGGACGGACCTACCTACGGTATTTTGTTAACAACACCTTTTTAAGTGCAAAAATCGCCCTTTCACATAAAAACTATCACAACACACAAAACCATACTATAACACCGCTCCGTTGCGACGTGAAAGAAGGACAAACACACTTTCGCATTTATGAACATGGATTATGTTTTATTAATAGTTGTATAGAAATTGTTTCGGAAACAGAATATATTTTATATATTTATCTTTCAATCCGAAATAAAATTTAAAACGTTTCAATCTTTTATTAGGTCAAAATTTCTTTATCCAGTTTAAGTTCAATTATGCACTTATGAAGTTAGAACATTCGTTGAACGTTTAAAGTAAAACCACTGTATAACAAAAGGTCAGAGAAGAAAAATCGACCTTCTTTTGTTCATAATCCCTTTTTTTCTACGCGACTACGACGGAATACTACGTGTTCGACCTCGCCTATCCTCTGAACATCAAAATGAATACCTATTAAATACATTATTTGATGATTCCGTGGCGCAGTTGCCAAGGTTTGCCAATTGGTTTCGTCGTCGTGGGTCGTGGGTTCGATCCCCACACGGATCAACTATTTGTGTGACCAACAGATAGTTGTTTCGCATCTGGGGGTTTGTCCACGTGAAATTTATGTTTGCAAAACGTCCTTACAACAAAGGATAATGTTATCCTAAAGTAAGGTACCTTAAAACAAATACAATATGTGTTAGTTGTTATTAGATGATAAACATTGAACAGTTTATTCATAACAATTTCAGATGATAATATTTTCTTGTCAGTTCTTGAACTCAATTTTTATTACAACACTGCTATAAAAAAACGTTTATTTTATTTTTATTATTCTCGAGGGTAATAACTATCACTGTAACGATCGCAATGGAGATTTCATCAAGGCCTTTACGATTAGTCGAACGAGCAGGAAGCGGTGCTCGAGATAAAAACGATCACGAAATTGTGCTGGGTGCGAATGCTCGCCGCGTGCAATATTGTTACGATTTGTCGCGTACATCAATCCATTCTATGGGTAATAGCGTGGTCGTATTACTTACGACTAGACGCACTAGTGATGCGAAGGTTCTAAGATGAACTCAAATTGTAGGATTAAATCTTACTCGAAACTGAACTTATATTGTAAATATTTGTTGTACAACAACCTTGTATGGCGTTGTATGCTATAAAGGATGCACACAAGATGGCGCTAAGCATTGTAAAAAATGCATTAGAAAGAACGTAGCTAGATGTCGAGATTTCCGCGATGTGACGTCATCGGCAGTTTAGCTTAGTTGGTAAAGCGTCTGGGCGCGAAACCAGAAGACGCAGGTTCGAAACCCGCAGCGGCGAAAGCTTTTGTTCATTTATCTACAAAAAATTACAATTCAATTTAATCTGTTTAAGTCTTAATGGATTTCTCCCATTAAAACGCATTATTTAATAAAAGTTAAGAATTCGTTTGTTGTGAGCTCGGGTGAATCCTGTAATTTATGAAATAAGATCCAAGTTCGGCAGCACTGCAAGTGCTTGATATAAAGACGCTAGCATATTCTAAACAAAGGAAATAATTAAATTGATTGACTATCTCTTTAGGACGTAAAGCATAAGACGTTAAAGCGTCTAAAATTCGTAACATAGGGACTTTGAAAAACAATTAATTTTTTTTACATACGCAAAACATACAGTAATTTGGAAATGACTAAAAAAATGTCGATTTCGGTGAGTATTTACGGATATAATAACTGTAATTTAAGTATGTACATATATTGTTAAAACTTTATTATTAAATTAAATATATCTGTATGTCAATGTTCTGTATATATTTAGTTGGTAAGCCTTAATAAATAAATATAATGCATTCACTAAATCTGATAATTTAGTAATTACGAACTGTGTTACGAAATTTGGCAGTACCAGTGGCGGGCATTATCTTGGTGTCGATCATTCGTTTGGTACGTGTTCGTTATCGGGTAATTTTTATCAGGACATTATCTCCAGACGGTTTTATAGACGAAGCGGTGCTTGTAGGGGATATTTACGTATGATGGTAACGATAATAATATTGGGGCTTGCGTATCTTGAGTGTTAGATATCAGGTGTGATTTTGGCGAACACCGTTATCTTTTGACTTTGTAAAGATAATGGCATGCCTGCTTGAAACACATGATTTTACGTTCTCGTCGTCGATTTTTTACGTGTTTTTATAGGATATAAAGGCTGTGTTTTTAACTATGTTCCTGGCAAATTTTATTATCTTAGTTATTCAGGTCTAATAACATGTCAGAATTAATATATTGCAAGTGCGTTTCGCCGTGTATCCGTTAGATGTTCCTTATTGAATTATATTTAACGACCTATACCATTTCTTAAATGTCGTATCCATTGGTCGTGAATACGGTGTGGTAAAAGATACACCATCGCAAGTATTGCAGTGAGCCCGAATATTAATGTGACGTCATTACAGTCATGTCTAGACAATCAGCTCTAGTGATTAAGATACGACGATGTCATTGATGTCGGTCGCCGTTACGGGAGCAAAATTTTGAGTCTCATAAACGTATAGTATGGGTATTTGAAGGATAGTTATTTACATTACAAATACCGTCATTATCTATTCTCAGGCTTATGACATGAGCTCGGGTAAAATCGATTGAATTAATCACTGACTCTTTATGCACCGCGATGCTATCGTAATCGGTGTGGATATGAGGTCCTCTGTTGTGCGCCTTTGAAGGAGCAAATAAATATTTCTTATCTGCATTACCGGTTGCAACCGGTTAGCAGGTGGACGCGGACTAACTCGCACGTGTCTTTTGATATCGAACTGCATTCGATAACGATGAGCCGGGTTGAATACCGGCGTGACGAAGGTTTTCTATTCGAAAGCCGTTTCATGCCAAACACTACGCATCACTACGCGAGACACGTAGATGCGTAGTCTGCATCTACGTGTAAAGGCCCATTTACACGATGCCATTTTCTTGTACATACAAGAGCAATAATTGAATGCAATAAATTGCGCGCAATAATTGTTTAGACCATTTGTTGTTTAGACCATGCAACTCATTTATTGCTTCAATTAAATTGTATACAACAGGCAAGAAACTGGCACCTTGTAAATGGGCCTTTACGTAGGTGCACAAGCTACTAAGCTTGTACGTAGGATAAGGATGTCGAAAGGGAAGAAATGTATCGATTTATCGATATCTTTTTCGCCATCCGGACGAAAAGTTATAAATGCACGTAATTTCAATTCTAACGTTAGACACAAGCGCATGTTTAAACCTGAGTCACTATTTTATTCTGTCGTGTTTATATTTCCAAAACGAGCGTGCCCCAATTGTAAACAATTACCAAGATTTTTAAACCAGTTCATAAATAACTGAGTTCTCAGGTAATAAACATTAAAAAAATTATGCAACCGAATAGACAATCTCCTCCTTTTTAAGGTCTCGTGTAAAAGGGCAGTAACAACCAAATGATATGTTAACAAATCAACAAATGTATTTAAATTCGTGTTCCAAAGTTCTATACTTTTGAAGCTATGTTTTTCTTTTGTATTTCAATAGTTTTAGGGCTATACACGATTTTGTGGATTGCAGAAAGTGAGTTTTCTTATGTCTACCGGCTTGTCTGTTCGCCAGGGCCGGCTAAACGAGCTGCTGTGCGCCGTCAGGCTGCAACGTAGCGCCAGCTCGGGTGCACCGCACGAGCGCTATCACTTGGACCCGGGTAAATATTTGCCTCGTCAACATTCAGACGTGGACTGTATTACTGTAATTATCACCCGAATCCGGCGTTCAGTTTAGCGGACATATTTCGGTGATAGCTAGAGATCTTCGCTAGCTTTAAGGAATCCAGTTCGCCCGAGTCTTATAAGAATGTTCTCGATGTCGCTGTTATATCTTTGTATTGGAGTAACGGCGCATATTAAAATCAAAGTCGAAATTTCTTTATTCAACATAGGTTTATTTTAAACTCTTATTGAACGTCAAAAACTACCACCGGTTCACTAAACTAAACCTGCAAGAGAAGAACCGGCGAATATATATATAGCATTTCCACTCTAACCATAATACAAACTAGCCAAATTACACGAGTTATAAAGAGTTCGGAATAATGATAACGTATTAAGCACTTCTGTAAAGTCATTAGTCCAATAAGAGGCCAGATGAGTCTATACGAGTTACTATTTCTACGAGCTATTTGTTCTATGCGAAAAGGTGACACGGGAGCTGGTGGTTCATCCGATGTTAATTGATAACCGCCGCCCTCCATTTGCAACACCCGAAGGGTTCCGGATGGGTTGCCACTTTTTAATAAGTTGGGCCTTGGGCCCCGGCTACCTCGCTCACCAGGCGAAACGCAGAAGTGTAACACTTCCACTTCACGTCTGTCTTCCGTGAGCTCGTGTTACTATTGAATGAATTTGCCAGTTATTACGAACTCTTCCACACTAGGAGCGCAAGAGGACGTGAAGCAGTTCCTAACGCTGCAACAGCGCGGCATGGCGCATTTAATGGACACAGCGCAGAAGGACCTCGCCGCTCTCAACACCATCGCGGAGGGCATGTCAAGGCTAGTGCAGGCCTAGCACAGCGCACGCGCACAATATGCGCCCAATTGTAAACTGAAGCGAACGTATTGAACACTACGTTAACTGAAGCAAGCCTCGAAAAACATTCATGATCAATAAAAAACGTATTTTTGCAAAATGGTATTATTTTTTAACTTTGCGTTTTAATCTTGCCTCTTTATCTTTTTATCTGTGGAAAGTTACCTCGTGGAAGGCGATCGGGAAACAATGTTGCTATTAATACGTTGGATAGAAAGATAACCGATTTCGGACTATTTTGACTTTAACGGTGGACGATTTGTCGGTGATCGTAAAATGTTGAAAATACATGTTGTTTCTAATATTGTTTGGTGGGCATGAATTAAAAAAAAACATTATTTTATAATCTTATATGTGACAATTTGATGGTGGACGCACATAAGAAAATATTGATTTATGCAACAAGTCTGACATCCTTTGTGATAACAACCCGAGTACAAATCCGTCACCGCGTCACCAATCAAATTGTTGGCTGCAGTTTAAGTGCTGACTCATCGCGTGTTCAACGGTGATGCTATTATGATTGTAATAAATAAAAAATATATATTGGGAAGAGATGTGTACCAATTCGCGCTGGGCTCGCATTGTAAGCTCTCTGATAAGGCCACGCCTCAGCTTCTGCTTTTGGAAGAATGGACAGGCTGGTCCGGGGATGTTGTCAGTACCAGAGGCTCACAAACGTGAAGAGAAGGTAAAATTTCGCGTTTCGTCTGGTTAATTACATAACCGGGACCTTTTTAGGGGTTCTGCAAGTCAACAGGTGTTGTAGATGTCGATGGGCGGAGGTAATTACTTAACATTAGGTGAACCGCCTCTTCGCTTGATCTTTTACATGGAAAACATGTTAATTCTAGTGCTTATACTCATGGTAGTAACGCTATAAGCATATGTATGTAATTATGCATGTCTCCAGTGTCGTTGAGGCTGTATCGTACTTTTTTCAGCTCAATTGTATATCAATGTCGTGATTACTCATTACTGGTACTCGCTTAAGTTGCTACGCAAATCGCCTTAAGATCTTACTTCTTAAAGAAATCATCAGAAATTGTTTTGGCCTAGGCAGTGTCATATATTATTACCATATCATGGAAAATCATCGATACTCCATTATGGTGTTGTAGCAAAGCAACTTGACGAAAAAAATCATAACCAGTGTGAACGAGATAAAGTACGTTTTCGTACAAAGTAAATTAATATGGAGCAAATTTATTTATTATATACCAAAGGAAACGTTGATTTAGAGATATCTCAGCAATATTGTCTCGACGATAAAGATATGCTGAATGTGATGAAAAGGAGGATTGACGTGCAAATATTTAAAAGTTAATTTCTATTTCATGCATAAAATGAGAAACTTTGGTTCAGGGAACAAATTAAAATGTTACCAGCAGTAGTAGAGACAACAAAATCTTGAAACTGCTCATGTTTTAGAAAAATTAAATTTTAAATTGTCATTATAAAGTATCTTTCACATGGGAAAAAAAGTTCAAAAATACATGTATTGTTGGCAATAAATAATTTATTTTAAATATTCTTCTTCCTTACATCAGCTTTTTGTACTTAAATCTAAAGGCAAATCCGTAATTCTGACTAGATCGTCTATAGGACTACATTCTATACGCTTAGAGCAAATTAAGTTTAAAGGCATTTCTTCAATACTCTTATAATCATTAATAATTTCTGTTTCCTTTATATTTTCATATGTTATATTATGCTCATTGTAGCCATAAGACTTGTCACCAACATTCGAACGAATTGCTGGATAACTAATACTGCTTGAATAGTATTTTTTATAAGTATGTTCGTACATCTGTGAGTATTCTAAATATGACATTTCATGCGTTGGCACCCTGATTGGATATAATGGTTTTAATGGCCTTACGTACGTCACTTGTGGTCCGTAACCTACACTTGGTAATTGTGTGTCCGCCATTGAGAGTGCGCTGTATGGTAGATGCGGTGAAGCTACAGTTTTACTTGGGTAAGTGAAACATCCGTGCAATGGTGATGTAGGTTCCATTGCGTAACATTTGTCCCTAGTTGGTGAAAAGCTTTCTTGTTCCGGGCTCTCGTCTGACGACTCCCGTTTGGCGCTCTCGTCGGTGGCGAAGTGTTTATACGTCTTCACGTGTTTTCTCAAACTCGATGGGTCCGTGTAACGTTTGTTGCAACCGGGGATTTTACAAAAATATGGCTTGTCTACGGTGTGCGTGCGCGTATGCTTGAAGCGGTCGCTCGAGTTTGAATAGGCTTTACCGCATCCCTATGAAAAAAAGTTATTGTTTTATTATTGTTCAATATTTGTTTTTTGATATTAAGATAATAGTTGTTATATATATGCAAATTTACCTCGTAAGGACAAACATATGGCTTTTCGCCGGAGTGTGACCTGAGATGAATTTTTAAGTTTTCAGCCCGAGAAAAACATTTGTTGCACTGATTGCATGTGTGAGGGCGCTCGTTTGTGTGGGTGCGGACGTGTACCAGCATTTTATATCTGTTGAGAGGCGAAATAATAATAAAATAAAATAATAATACAAATTTAGGTTTTTGTTAATAAATTATTATGTATCGTATTTTAATAATTACCTCGCGTTGAAACCCCTTTGAGGCCTGGAGCAACCTTTCCAACCACAATAGAAAAGGCCGTCTCTGTGTGCATGTGCGTGCCCGCGTGCGATATGCGCTGACAATCTGGCTACGCTTTGAAAACGCGCCCCACACCCTCGCCACCCGCAAACACCTTCTCCTACTTCTGCACTATCGTTTGTACTCCGATCAGGCGACGACCCCCCCAATGAGTCTTCGTCTTCTAACTATGAATAAGTAGAATAAAAGGTAATTATATTATTTTTCCTTACTTAACATATAAGCACTATTTAGAGAACACCACACTAAAGAATTACAACTCAGACTTGTGAGTGAAGTACCATGAATGCATTATTATATTAATCGCACCTGTGGCGGAAGAGGGGGCAACACTGTTCTGGCAAAATATGGCGCGAATCTCTCCGCAGGCATCCATCGCTGCGTCCTGCAGCCTTCCTGTATTTCTGGCCTCCATTGGGGAAACACTAACATTTTTCTGATGCTTCTAATGGTCTAGTTGTTTTAATGTTTTTATTACTATTCACTTCGCGGTCCGTACGTGTAATGAAGCCGCGCGCTCATGTTACCTACTTATAAAACGTCTCCGAGTGACATCGCACTGATAAGCGTCTGAGTCCCCTGCGAACACTGCGCTTTAATATGTTCAAAAATACTTTTTTTAACATATTTTTCTCCACATCATAGATTGTTATACGACCAAAACTATTTTTACAGGGTTAAGAGTAATTTGCGTAATTAAAATAGTTAACAGAGTCTAAATTTGCTTGGCAAACCATGTCCGAGATCGCGACAGAGCTTGTTGTCGTTTAATGTGGAAACGTTATCAAAAGCCGCCTGCCGCGGCCGTTGTCCAGTTATTACCGGTACGATAGGCCTCAGTTCAATAGGTGACTGATATATATCTGTTTATAAAGAGACCTCATCTCCGCTCGGGTAATGCTAAAGATATTATTTCTTTTTGTACACATTATGCAACAGGATATTAACTTAACTTTTTTTTGTTTTAGGAATATTTTGCATGTGATATGGGTTTGTGTCAACCTTGGAATAACGATACATAAGTTTTGTTCTTCGCACCCAACAGAAAAGTTGATACGTTTCATCATAATCGTAATCGGTTTGATGACGGACTTAAAACCTTGGATTATCAATGCCTGTAATATTTTGTTTTAGTATTATATACCTATTACTTTCTTAGAGTTTCAGAAATCTGAAAATTTCAATATTTTTCAATTAAGTCGGAACAGGTGTGCATATCTAATGTTTGCCTTTAGCTAGGTCATGTTGAAAAGTAAACGAGAAGATTTTCGTTCTGTACCCATCAATCATTAAATCTCTTTGATTTTGGGAGTTTGTTTTAATACCTACTGTATTTAAATAGTAACTGTTCACTTGAAACAACACCTCAAGAGATTTAGGAGTATAAACAGTATAAACAGTTTTAAGGGTGGTCATGGATAAAGTGAAAAATTTTGAACTATAACGTGTGTTTAATATTTTGATAAGAAAATGTGGTTACCTAGTGGTAAGGAAAAATGTGTAACCGATTGGAATAACGGCCTAAAATGGCAACATTATGCAGTTCTTTCTGAATTAATTAGGTGAAGTGTTCTTTAACATAGATATACCATCATTGTTATCGAGAACAAAGTATAATGACGTGCGCAAAATAGCATTCCTTTCGGAAGCGTACGAACAAACACTGCAAAGTTCTGCGTCATTGCGTTATAATACTTAATTGTATTGGTTGTTTGAACGAGTAAGTCCAATAACGTTATCAGTTTGGCACTCTTACACGTGTGTGCGCTTGTGTAATAACTCATGATTTATCCTTGTGTTGGCAGCACGGCCCCCTGCGGCCGACGGCGGCGCGCGCGGTCGGTTTCAGCCAGTTCTCTTATCAACGAGCAAAGCAAGTTATTGTCGCCACCGCTGTGCTTCTTTGTTAAAATTTATGTTTATTATAAATGAGCACATAATTTTGGACCGCCTTAGTATAATTTTCAATACAGTTATGATGGTCTACGAATGCTTCGGCATAAGAAAAATAATTTTGACAATACCTACATTTTGGCAGTTTACGTATTTCCATTTGGGAATATGTTTTTTATGCTATTGTTGATATTAATATAGGGATAACATGTTTGTAATTGTCCCTAATAAAATAATTAACGTCATACTATTGTTCATCGTTATTTAAGTACAGTGTACACTGTACTTCGAAGAGGTATGTGTCATTGTGTATAATTTTGTATGCAATATCTCGTTCCAATGCAGCGGTCGGGGGCAAAGGAGTAGCAAGCTCTAGATCTAACTGGTTACGAGTTATCAGAAAGCAACAAATTATTTCTAAGTTTCATCATCGTTATTTTACAGAATAAATAGCTGATGATATAAATGTTTCCATATTTAAAATTTATCCCATTGCACAAAAAAATATTTCATTCTTTGCAAGTATTTAATTCTAACAAATTCAGATTGCTACTCTGCACCACCAGTTAGTTACGACTTGTTTGAATGGTCGCAAATCTACGTTTTACCCAGGCAAGAACAGTTTATATTATTTAAAAAGTAAGAGTATATAGGTACTTCATTTAAATTGAATCCAAATACTTGTTAAAAATATAATAAGGATTTCGTCTATTTCAGCTCCTTGTAGTAAAAATAAGGTTAATAGTTTTTTATGCATTTTAATAGGTAGGAAACAAAAATCAAATATGAATTATTATGTAGGTAAATGTTTTTATTTGGCAATAGGTTTTTGAGTTATCAGTAATTCAGTATATGGCACGTACCTATAAGATTAATATACGGATTTTGAACTTAATGCGATATTCGTTCCATTGTTCAAGATAGTCACAGATACTAATCTAGTTTTTTTGCGTTTTCACGTGTTTGAAGCATGATAATGCGCGCGATACGACTGAAATATAAGAACAGTTTTTTTAACCGTCCTATGCTTGGTATCTTAACTTGAAAGAGGTTGAGATGTTTTTTATTACAAAATTCTAATTATACTAAATTACACACTTACGAAGTGTAGGTAACAAATGAAAACGCGAGTAACCAATTATTTGCTTACATAAACTTTCAGAAGAAAGTAGAATAATATTAAGCAATTACAGGGTCTGAAATTGAATGTTCGATTAAAAATTTTACAAAGAAAATAAAGTAAAAAGCAAAAACTTTCACGGGCATGATAAGTCTATTTTCGGAAAATTTGCCAGACGGTATTACAGGCGTCGTCGATAATGATGGCTGATACACGATAAGAATATAATCCTAGTCTGAACATACGTCAATAACACGGCACGTGATGCCAGCATGGTAGTTTTGTACAGTGTTTATAAGACACCTCAAAGACGTTTAGGACTAACGTAGTCCTAACCTAACCGTCACATTTTTAATACTAACGTGTGGGGTAGTTATGTTAGGTATTTGACTTCCAATATGATTTTATGTCAGAAAACGTGGACGCAATTATTATCCTTTTGTGTTGCCGTTTTGGTAAAGAAGCAGACCCCCGAGTCGGGAGTGAGCCCATCCCACTAGAAAGCGTAGATGTCAGGGTATTACTAAATACCGCCCCGTTAGCCTTGTAGTTGCGGGGTTTTGGGTTCAGGGTAGGGATCTTGATTACAAAGTGAAGTGTAAGTTCATAGAAATTAACAATATACGGCTTTAAGCCAAACATAACACCTCTATTGCGATTTTAGTAGCAAATTCAGTTTCGTCCAAAATAACCTAAAAGGTAACCTTCCAGTCTGCTCCGATTTTAGGGCGGCTCCAAGATGACGGGGGCATTGATGTAGCACCTCAGTTACAAAAAGTTAATGCAATTGGGATGAAATTGAATTATCTTTGAGTCTTAAAATGACGGAAAGTTTGATCTATTAAAAATGGTAAAAACCGTATTTAGACCTTTTAATGAAGTAATATTTCTTTTATTTCAGAATATATGGTTTGTGAAGTAATATCAATTGCGGTTAATAGTATCAATACTGTAAAAAATTACAAATTTGAAATATTATTTCACAAAATTACATAATGCGACAATAAGGTGGTTTGGCTTTAAACTTAATTTAAATAAATAAACTATAAACAGATCACATTCACACTTTGCTTTTGTGTTTCTTTATGAAGCACAAAAGCAAAGTGTGAATGTGATTTTCTATTTCATGTCTTCTACGTCCAATATCTAATACAAAGACAGTCATTACTTTCTTCGTGCCAAAAATTATATGTTCATTTATAACTAGCAATTTTAATATAATCGAATCTTAAATTCATTAATATTAAAATTGGCATCACTGGTGCGTGGATATTGTCACATCATAGAGATCTTCGTCGTCTACACATAGTACAAAGCATATAGTATCAAAATTCGTTTACGTCTCAAGTAAAGCCTTATATATTAAGTACTTTTTAAGGCTGAAATTTGTAAAGAAAATAGTTAAATGTTAGTTAAGGTAAATAATAAAGTTAGCAACGAATCTGCAACCCTAGGTGTTGCAAATGTCAATGGGCGGCGGTTATCACTTAACATCAGGTGAACCGGCTGCTCGTTTGCTACCTTTTCACATAAAAAAATAAGTGATTTCAAGTCTTCATGGTCTCGTTTATTTAAATCTGGATTAATTAAATTAAAAACTATATTTTAAGATAAAACCCATATTTTCAATATCATATACTTACTTATTTATTTTTTATTTATTAGAATTATTTTATTCAAATTGCATGCATAAATATGTTATTTTTTAATAAGTGAAGCCAAAATGAGATTAATAACGAGCATTTTCCATCTTTGAAAAGATTACGCTTATTCATTTATTAAAATCGTTTAGAAATCTTTAGAAATCTTACCATCATTTTCTGTCTGTCTGTCACTTGTAAGAAATTTGTTTTTTTTTTTAATTTTACGATCAGTAGTTGCACCGGCGGCTACTGACAGACCACTGTGACGTAGTGCTTCCCGCCAAAAGATCATGGCGCGTTCGACCACACGCGAACTACGCCAAAATAAAAACTCAGAAATAGCCACCGCGATTATGCCGCAGCGAAATTAAAATAGGAATACGTTGCGTCCGAGTGACTTTTGTAAATCTAAATTCCCCCCAACAGCGTTATACCTAGTCTTTGTTCAAATTGTCCTGTAACCGTGTGCCAGTGTTTATGATATGCACAACACCAAATTATTCTCATTTTTATCTATCAAGCAAACGATTTCAACTAGGTTAATGAAAAATCTTTTTTTAAGAATGAATCGCAGTTACATAGCAAGTAAAATAACTTATACCTACCTAATGTTCTGCAACACTTCTACTTTACGCCGGTCTTCTGTGAGGTCGTAGTACTAACCCGGACGGACCCGCTCATTCGTGCAACAGCGAACACTGTTGCGTGGTCCTACCACCGTAAGTTCTGAAATTTACACCCGTCTTACTTTATATTAAAGTCGTAATTTAAATTGCTATGTTTTTTATAAATCTGAAAGATAGACCAAAATTGTAATGAATGTTTTCTTGTTATTTCACAATCAAGGCTTCCTTAAGTTCTCTAGACCACACAACTGTTGACTGGGATAATACTTATGACGTTATGTCCGCCATTGTACATAATAAAAAGAGAAGATAGATAAATTGAAGAAATTACATAATATAAACGTACAATCCCCGTTCTTCGAACGGCTAGGCTAGGGAAATATTAAGAATTACGGAAATCATGTAGCTTGTATTAACTGATGTTAACGCTTTCAGTCCCGAGACTATTAATGCTTGATCAAACGCATAACCATGGGCTTACCAGAACCCACGGGTTTGAGGCCCTCCACAGTGGGTACGGCAGCACATGTGCTCATGCGTGCGTTATCTAAAAAATGTCGTCTACGGGCCATCGAGGTTCGGTGCGGTCCGTGACCCCGATGGCCGTTGACAGCGTTTGGCTAGTAGGTAGCTGGGGGCGGTGAGAACCGCCATGAAACGCGGGTGTACCTAGTGTACGCGTTGCGTTGGATTCGCCGTACTCGAAGGCGAGGATGAACTATGGTGTTTGCTGTTACACTAATTACGGAATACACATACGACGGCGATATCCTATAAGTCTATGTCCTATAGGCTACGTCGGACTCTTCAATTCAATTCAAGCTTCGCTTCAATCCAAGGCGCCGATAAAGCCAAGGTGCTTTCTGTTACACTTTCTACACTGTGTGTCCTCTACCTCCTAGGAAAGAAGGAGTTCCTTACCTAGAAAAGGGAGTCCCTCCAGCTAAGGCGCGCTGAAAAAAACAGTTTGTATCGTCGCTTGTATTATTCTTTACATGCGATTTCTCAAAGGTACTTAACAAAAAACTTGTGCGATTGAGGGACCTCCGTAATGAAGTTCCTTACGCTATTTTCCAAAACTCAATTGTGGATACTCCGAGTTAAAGAAATTCATTGATTGTTCCAATATTTTGTTAAAGTGAAAAAAGCGCATCCAAACATTTCTGCGCTTCATCTTTCGTAGAACGCCTGCGAAAACGAGACCTTTTGATAAAGCTAGTAATGAAAAGTCCACAGGCGTTTCATTACTGGGTTGTAGGAAAAAATCGAAGACCAGTAACAGAATTGTTATCAAGGTGTTAAATCTTTTCGAAATAAGGCTGCAAAATAGTAAATAAATTAAAATTCCTATTGCTAATTGACATATAGCCGTCACCTGGGTATTTCCTTGTGTAACACCGCACATCAATTTCTCCGACGCAAATCTGCATAAAGAATTTACATAAAGTCAAGCGAAAAGAATTCTTGCCAAGGTCGACCGTGATTGAAAAACAGTCAAACAGTCAGTCGAAACTTGTTCTTGGATAATACCTTGAATTGATTGATAAAAAGAAGTCTTAAACTAGGGAAGCCAAAGTATAAGGATGTTTAAAATAGATGCATCTTCATAGTAAATATTTTTAAGTGAGTCTAACGCCCGGTTTCTGAAACACTGATCATCGCAGATGTCATCTAATCAGATGTCAAATGGATTTCAAATGTCATTTTAGTTGCCAAAAGGGTGGTTAAAGTCTCTGAATTGACCAGAATGATCTTCTTTATGATAAGAATGATCAATTCAAAGACTAACCATCCTTTCGGCAACTAAAATTAAATTTGAAATTAATTTGACAGCTGATTAGTTGACATCTACGATGATCAGTGTTTAAGAAACCGGGCGTCAATTTATTATTATCGGCTAATTGTTTTTTTTTATTCATTGAGGTTGAAAGTAGCTACGCTAGAGTGGTTAACGGTATTAGGTTAGGCTCTTTCTTTGACCCTTCCGACGGGGTTCTCGCCTTGTGGCGGAGGGGTTTAGTAGCCGTGGCTTGGTCATCCAAAGGGTTGTCAAGAGGAACCCACATAGAGCGGGCCTGTGGGGTAAGCCCGGCCGGGAGACGGCCGCTCCAAGTGGGTTTATTGAGCCCACTCTGGATGCGTGCTGGAGGGTGTAGGGATCAGGTCGAGGGTGGTAGAAGTGGAGCCACTCTTCTGCTAACAAGAAGTCGCGGGGGAAGAGGGATATATTGTATTGGCCTATCTATAATATTATCCTATCCTCCGCGACTCAGTGGGGCTGCACTGTTGATGCAATGGTGATGGGGTCGTAGGGGGAGTATCGGTATTGCGATGCACCGTTCTCCACGGCCGAAACATGGTGACCGGCCGGGCCACAGACCAGGTCCGCCGTTGGGGGCTTGGAGGCTTGCTGCTTATTAGCACTGGCTCTCCTGGCCCCCATGGCCTCTGGTCAGCGAACCCAGGGGATTCTTTGGCCGTGAAAAAGGGACCGAGTAGGAAGGCGCGCTGAATGTACCAATGCGCCTTACCTGGAGGAGGGGAGTTGCTCCCTGAGAAGGAGCAGCTGAGGCGGCCAGCGCTAGCAGAGTCGAGGAAGTGTGCGAAAGCGTTCCCGTGGCCCTGCCGATATGCGCCTAGGTGGAACATCGTGAGGGTTTTAGTCGGTGCGAGTCCGACAAAACCCGCACTCTGTGAGGGCGGGTATTCGTGAGCATTTCCCGACGTGAAAGGAAAAGCTCTTTCCTTGACAGCCGTGTAGTCTCGGGCTCTTAGAATAGGGCTAAGATATCCCCTTCGTTTCATGGATGATCGGAGGTATGCCTGGTAAACCATTCAAGTGAACCCGACTTGGGCGCGAACACGAAGCCAATAGAGCAGTGACACAGTGAGGTAATTGGGGAAGTTTTTATTCCCCGGAGTTTGATAACTTGATGCGCATTAGTTAGCTGAAACTGTTGGCCTTGCATTTGGGGTTAGGCAGAGGAAAAGGGTGTTTTATGAAGACTTAGGACTTCAAGCTTATCGATGAAAAATAGAACATCGTTTAGATGAGCGTTAATTGACCTGAGACTGAATAGATCCAGCAAGAAAAAACACGCTGAAGTCCTGTTTTCGAATTCAAAATTTATACCGTGTAGGAGAAATACAATACTGAAGAAGCGAGCAACCGCATTCCGCCTGTCCCATGGGGGCCTTTTCCGTCTACACTCATGGTTTGACTGCGTTTCGACGTTTTGACTTCGTTTGATGTTTCCAGCTTAAATGAGATATATTTTTGAGAAAAGAAGACGTAAGAGTACAGTTGTGTATCAAAAACTACAGTCCTCGCAAACCTTGTTGAACCTCTTCCTCATACCATGTTCAATAACAGACACTGGGTATTCCAGCAAGATTCTGCGCTGATGCTTGCGGCGCGTGAAATCGACTTCATCAGACATGAAGACTGGCCCTCCTGTAGTCCAGGTTTAACTCCGTTGGATTGTAAAATATTGCAACATTTGGAGGAAAGGCCTGGTCAAAGAAGCCTCATCCCGATTCGAAGTCAAACCAGGCATACTTTATCAAAGCAGCCACCGCTATTGATATGGAACTCATTTGTATTGTCCTCGGCTTGTATGCAAAATCTTGGGTTCATTTTGAATTAAATTGGTAAGCATATGAATCTGTTTTAGTAAGTTTGTTTTGTATATAAATGTTTACTGTAAAGACATACATGTCAATTAATTCACAATAAACATATGACAGAACCTATGGGCCCCGACTAGGTAGTGCGTTAGAAAATAAATAAACAACATGAGGGCTGAAGACATTTATTTTACGTCAATCGCAGTATTACATTCCGGAAGTAAATAAATTTACAACATATGACAGAGGTATTGTACGGTTCTTGAAAAATAATACTTTTAAAAAAAAAAAAAGAAACACTGAGCGGCATATAACGAGAAAGACTTTTGTAAAAATAATTGTGCATATTTTTCCTAATAAAAATATGTTTTTTTATCTATTCTTTCGTTGAGCCTATTGAAATCAGTACTTAGAGAATCATTACTTGGTTAAATGGAATATCTTTGGAATTTGCAAAAAAGATGTCATAGGTAATATGATGTGTATAAGAATCAATAGCAAATTTAAGTACAAGTTACGAAACGGTCGTTTACATAATAATATATCAATTTTTTCGATGACAGAACACATTATCGTATACTTAAGTACAAATACTAAATTGAGCTAAAAAGTTATCACACGAATTACTTAATATACGTAATAAGTAGTCGTGGAAACAGGATGCTACAATAAATAAAAAAGAAAATCGTTTAAATTATAACCTAACATTATAAAATGCAAAAGCAAGAACACAAGGCTAAAAGTAGACAATGGTATATTAAGTAACAAGCTTGAATAATATATTTCGCGCGTAACTTCACGTCGCTAATTGCTATTTCTCTAGTAATATCCATAATATCCAAAAATATAGGACTTTCACAAAAAAACAAAAAACAATTAAAATTAAATTCTAAATAAATTGCGCTAAAGCAAATGCTTCACTTATATACGTTGAGCTTCACATTATGTTAAAAGCCAATGCGGAATGATAGTTTTAAGGTCAAATCGATATTTTCCTAATCAAACAACCAATGTATTTTGTTTTTAGGCAAGAACCAATAAGTACTATAATTTTAAAGGTGTTTCCCATTACGTCATGCGTTTCATCTTTAAGTTAACAAAGTTAATCAACTGTTATTAATACTTCAGTAAGTATTTGAGTACTTAAGATTTTTGTAATACCTATTAAATAATTGCATTTATAATGTGATGTACATAAATATTTTATCATGAAAAAAGGAAAAAACTAATACCATTATAGAGGATTAAGAAGTGTGACTAAACAAAACATAATATTATGGGATATAGGTATTTTTTTGGAGTTCAAATATTCTGATGTAAATATTACTTATATAATTATATATTTTTTGTAATTTTTAATCTTTCACATTACTGATGTCATTTTAAACGTCTTTTCGGTATATATGGAAGAAATATCTATAGAAAAATACTATCAAGGTGTAATACTTTAAAACTGACAAATGTCTACAATTTGTAATAACAAAACCGTCATGGATAGTGCTTTCAAATTTTACGCATATTTACGAATTTTTTTTTCATTCAATTCGAAATCGGAACGAATAATTTGTAACTTCACATCAATTTCCCTTTTTTTATTTTCACACTTAGAATGATGTACTCCTAAAAGCTCATTGTACATGGGAATGCACTCCAAATTGGGCTCGTGAAGCGTGACACGGCCTTGCAACTCAGCAAACTCCAATCGTACGAAGTGCACTGTTGTAGGATTCTAGATGGCGCCGCAATGTGTTGCGTTTTCCCAGAGTTTGAGAGTTGCGAGACCCGTACGCGGGAGCGGTATGCGCCATCTGTCAGTTTCAAAGCAACGAGACGGACCGCGGCCGGGGAACGGTCAGGGCGCCGTGTGCCGTCGGCAGAGGGGAGTGTGACACTTCGCCCCACCGCCGCGCGCTAGTCACGCGTACGTCTCCCTGAAGCGCTTCTGCAGGTGGTGGGCGGCGTTCAGCAGGCGGTGGTGCAGGGTGAGGTGGGTGTGGGGGGTGAAGACGGGCGGGGCGGGTGCGGGGGCGAGCGCCGGCAGTTGCAGCTGTGGCAGCGTGGCGCCGTCGTCCGGGTGGCAGAAGAAGGCGACGCAGTGGCGGCCGCGGGCGCGCGCGTATGCCCCCGCCGGGACGACCACGCGGTGCATGAGCGCGGGCAGCAGGTTCGTGGTCCACGAGGCGAGCAGCTCGCCCGTCTGCACGAGGATCGCGCCGGGCAGGTGCCCCACCGCCTGCCACTTCTCGCTGCCGTTCAGCTTCACCTGCGGGCGCAGCGCGAATGATCATATGAATGCGCAACCCTATCGGGTCATCGCGGAGGATGGAAACAAAAATCCTGTTTGCACGAGGAACTACTGATCGAATTTCGTTTTGAGTTGAAAAGAAAAAAAAAAAAGAGTATTTTTGTATCGGCATGATAAATTGAAAACATTAACACACGGACACATAATTGCTACTAAATCGTAAAAAAAAATAGATTCGATTTCGCATTAGGTAATTTCTAGATGCCTACGGGCAAATATTGGATTTCCCGATCCCGCTCCTGTCCGACTGCTGGGCCAGTACAGACGACTCCGATGTGTGTTTGTAATATTGACCGCGCCAGCCGACGCGATCGGTTGCCCGAAAGTTTTCCCCCGCCACGTTGCTTTTCGCTGCGATCTTTCATCATATCAGATACAACATATGGACCGAACGTACCTCCAGCCCGCCCTCGGAGTCCTGCGCGAGCAGCGTGAACGTGCAGCGGTCCGCGTGGGCGCCGCAGCGCGTGTAGCCGCCGTCGCGACAGCACGGCCCGTCGTCCGGCGGCACCGGCGGGTAGTACAGCAGGCGCATGCTCGACGGGTTCACGCCGTCGCTGCGCAGCATGCCCGCGTGGCTGCCCAGCAGCGTCGCCGGCGGCAGCCCTGCGGCGAGCGGTCTGTGAGTCCCGTAACTTTACAGTGGCAGCCCTGCGGCGAGCGGTCTGTGAGTCCCGTAACTTTACAGTGGCAGCCCTGCGGCAAGCGGTCTGTGTCCCGTAACTTTACAGTGGCAGCCCTGCGGCGAGCGGTCCGTGTGTCCCGTAACTTAACAGTGGTAGCCCTGCGGCAAACGGGCTGCGAGTTCTGCCCGTAAATTTGCAGTGCTCGCACATAGCTCCGTGCAGCGTAAAAGGTGGCAGCACTGTGATTAACGACGACCGATACGAATATGACCGCGTGATGGGTGAGAATCGTCGCCGAGTGCTCTAAGCCGATCAGTTTTTTTTCTATTTCTAATTATCTGTATAAATTGACCACCACCAGCTTTTGTGGCACGCAGACAGGGACCTTGACATCAATCCGCAAGTCAACTAAGTTTTGGAGAAGTCATGTAAAACAAATTTGCCGCGGATTTATAGGCTGCGTATACGATCAACACGACTTAAACAGCACATAATTAACGGAACACCTTATTCTCGCTGAAATGTCGTTTCATAATAAGCAATGTTTCGAACTGAAATTACGAAATAATCAATAAATCACCGTTCGCTTAAACTGACACTTTTCGTAGCGCCGATCACACTTTTCGTAACGCCCTCGTCACGCATCCACCATCTTACTCCGCAAGTCAAGCGTTTTACTTCAAAAACTAACGTTTTTACATACATCAACTACATTTAAACGTTTTCAATGCCCTCAACACTATGAGTTCCTCATCAACGCGCCGTAACTGTTGAAAAAAAAAAATTAAAAGTACACAATTGGCCGTTGCCGCTGGCGTGGCGTTCAGTTACCGAGGGCGTAGGCGAGCGCCTGCAGCAGCACGCGCGAAAGGTTGGTGAGGTCGTGCGCTAGGGGCACCGCGTGCTGCGTGAACTCGGGCACCTCCTCCTGCGCGGGGAACGCGGCCGCCGACAGCGTGGTGATGTTGAACGAGTGACGCAGCTCCTGGGCACGCGGGAATTACGCTTTTAGATATGGCGCCGCTTGGCGTATTCGGGCTGTCGTACGATAGGCGCGCGCGTGTTGCGTGTCTATTAAGGTTATCGCACGATACGCGCCCGCGTGTGCGTGCGTGTCTGTGTGTGTACATGTAAGCAGATGTTCTTGTCGGTGAGGAGGCTATCGGCGATCTGTTCACAAATGGTCCAGTCGACCGTTAGGTCAGCTGCTTTAATAGATTTCAAACAAGCTTCAAGCAAAACCTGGTTTCGATGGATCCTCGAAAGGAATTTAAATGGATGGAAATTACCATTTAGCGGTGGCAATAAACAATTATACCCTCTCTTGCGCCAGAGGGTGTGGGTTTATTCCCCACTACTGGAAAAATATTATATGATGAACCTAGTGTTTTTTATGTGAGTCTATTTATTTAGCTAATTTCATTAGAATATGTATTTATTTACATAACAAAACTAACTATGAGCGAGATCATCGAAGAAAGCTTCCGGAAAGGTTCTAAAAGAGGCTAAGGCGTTCCTCTCCTCTAGGTAGTTTACGATTTACCCAAGAGTAATTAGTATGGAAGCACTGACAGCTTTCTGGTATACGATTGGGTTGACTGGTCCGAATATCATCTGTAAGATCGGATTGAAGTGAAAATATTACAGTTTCGCATTTTGCCCAGTGAGTGAGGTAGCAGGAATCTTTTAAAATGTTGAAAAGGCAGACTATGTTCCTGGCCGGCGGTTATCACTTAACGTCGGGTAAACCACCTGTTCCCTTGGAACCTTGTCAGATAAAATTAATGGACCGGCTCAAAACATTGCCCGGGGAATATACCCTATAAAATATTGGCAACAACATTAAGTGCTACGCGTGAAGGTGGACAAAAATTAAAAAAAAATTTAATTTCCATTGAACGCATATGTCTCGAATATTTGACTACAAATTGACTTTGATATTTTCACCTGAGAAATTGATACTAGTCCAAGTTTTCATTAAACCATTATCCAGTTCATTAATTGTAATAACAATTAATAATAAATTTTTTATTCATAAAATATGCACAAATTATGGGGCAATGTTGAAATCATCTTTGAATACTATAAGATGTCACATAATGATTATAGTAATTAACTAATTTCCCAGCTATATCCAATTTAAAAAGAAATCTAATAACAGATAGCATCGAAATAACGATTCGGAATTGCATTTCGATATAAAATATATTAAGATAGTAGAAATCATCAAGAACAATTAAACTTCTAGTGCAATCGATATGAAAGTTGATTATCGATCGCACGATCGAAATAAAATAACGCAAAATTGTTGAAATCAATAAGGAAAAATCCCCGAGGCTACGCTTATACGCATATAGCTGGCGACAATGCGTATATGTTTATACATATATACAGTATATTCTCACACTTTCACTCTGTCTACGACGATTTAAACAGCACGCATCCGGGACACGCGAAGCGATAAACTTTAGTGTCTGATAATTCTACGAAACAGGAAAATTTGCAATTAACGACCAGGGCTTTTAATATTTTCTCCGTTAAATTCGATATCCTTTCGCCGATAAAAGATATGAAAGTTCTGGAAATGAACCTGAGGCCACATTGTGAATGTCAAAACATTATAGTATATTTATCTCTTCCTGAAAAAGGTGAACTACATCATATATATACACATAATTTATTAATTCACTAGCTGACTCGGCAAACGTTGTTTTGCCATATAAATTATTTCTAGAGGAATCGGAACGCGTTCAAAAATAGTTTGACAGGTTGACAGGTACAGTTTGTATGGGAAAATAAAATTGTTGCTATTTCGATTTTCCATGCAATTTTTCCATAATTTCTCATCCTTTAAACCTTCCCTGGACTGCCGGATATTTAAAAAACCAAAATTATCCAAATCGGTACAGCAATCCATTTTTATATATAAGATTATTAATTAAACTACAATAATCAACAAAAGATAACAATATTTATGATTAATTTAATTTTTAGTGCGAGTCTGCACTAAATATTAGAAATGTGAATTTTTCACTTTTGTTGATAAATGGTCAAAATCTCAAGGCGCTGCGGGATCCGAACGTAAGTCTTGCAAATTTTGTGAATTATTAAAAGAGAAAGTATTTTGTAATATTTCATTGTTTGTGGTCGTTGTCGGTGCCCGTTAGTTATATGCAAAATCAGAGGCTTTCGAAACTGGACAACTTCTATCGGGACAGGTTTTCATGGGTGTCAGCTAGACCAAGACAGCCCAGGAGACCAGTTTTAGAAAGGGTTTAGTTGGCTATTAATCGGTTTATTCAACAATATCGAATATACGCAATCATTTTATTTGAATTAAAATGTATCGCAACCGATTAAAATTATATATAAGGAATACATGAGGATATAACAACATTAACGGCTTTGTATAAAGCTGCAGAGTTTCTTGGCAACAAATTATCTTGGACGAAAAGGAAATTTCGGCATAAGTTGTTTTCGAGAACTTCCGTGACAACAAGAACTATTTATTGAAGGATATTTCTGTTCCGTGACCGGGAAGGCTAGAAAGGGTTCGAAACGTCGGGAATTAAAAATCAGAATTAAAACGCGATAAAATCCGTGAAATATATAGTTTCACTTCAACGTGTTGTCGTTACCGATTTAACAGGCAAAATAAATTAATACGACTCCCATATAAATTTACTATGCAACTATTTCATATAAATGTTGTTTTTTATTTATAATAGTTATCGGTTGTTGTATAATATTGCTCGTTGATAAGTGTTACTTATGTATCTTACAATGTAAGCATACCTTTTTAGTGCTATCGAATTGTTCCATTCCCGGTCGCACGTAACCATGATTGCTGACGGGATTCCGGAGGTACTGCGCTTGGCAGCCCTCTGGTAGTGCACAGAAGTTATCCAAATCTGCGTACACAGCCTTTAACTGTAACATTCAAAATGCTACGTTATTTTTAGAACTTCACATATTTTGATAATTGATATTTACACAGTGCGTTTTTTTTTGATAATATTATAAATAATATTATAAAACTAGATAATATTATTAAAGGTATGATTTTCCCGCCATGAGAGAAAGACGGACACAGCAGCGGGGAGCATTTGGCGCGCCATCTACGATCGTTGAGAGAATTCGATGAACGTTGTACGTCTCAACACCACAGTTGTGAAAGTGCACATTAGGTTAATCAAAGTGTAACATTTTTCTTTTATTAACCAAACTCATTTCTATATTATTTGATGTAATTATGTACACTTGTAACTATGGTACACCTTTTAAAAGATTCTGTTACGGGGTGGAGGGTTGATTACTTGAGACACAGGATTCGTCCTAGTTCAAGTGTCAATCCACCATAATCTATTCTTGTATTTCTGTTTTCTGTTTTCATGTATTTTTGTTCGTATCTTATAATTTATCTTAGTTTATAGCCACTTTTGTTGATTATGGTGAGGAATAAATGATTATTATTATTATTTACTACTTATATTACCATGTTACGTTTCTAAATTAAAATAGACGCAACATTTATTTTTGTGGATTAGTTAGCCATTGGCTTTATTGGGGGAACCTTTACCTTTGGACTTATCGACTGTGAAAATCAACTTAGTTCAGTGTGACCACAATTTATAAAATGTCAACTCAACGGCATTATATTATGTATCTGCTTTAGCTAACCGGACATTAAAATTACAATTTTTGTATGTATATGGTTCTCACGTACCTTCTCGTCAGCAATGCCATGGTTGACTAACATAGCGAGACCCTTCCCATTGAGGGCTGCAAACAGTTGCTGGCCGATGCGCCTCACCACAGATTTCATGGGGCACCCATCCGTCCCTGCAACTATAGGTTACAATCGAATTAAATACTTTGTACTAACAGTAGAAGCGAAAAAAATTAGACTTATTTAAAAAATAAGGTTTGATGTTCATGTTCTTGAAATTTTCCAAAAAGGAAAATGCATTATACAGGGAAAATTTTTATTCAATCTTGCAGGAGTCGATCTAAAACGTTTTACATTTGCCTGTATGTTTATTTTGTAGAGTTGTACCGCACCAACTCACACTGTACTCGTTACCGAGTAACGGGTACTTGGCTCAAAGGCAAAATACCAAATTCTTGTTACTCACGAATTCATTTCTTTAAACACATTTGTCGGTTATTGTATAGATAGTACCCAGTTTGATTCGTATTACGAAATTTCGGGACATCGTTACAAAGGAAAAGATCACAAATATTATTATAGCGAACGTTATGTAAATTGTAATTTTTATACATGTTTTAAGAATTTTTGACCGATCGTAACAAACAGCGATTTTGTTCATTTCAAACATTTATAAAATGCGATCATTTTATCTTAAACATGTAAACGATCTTTTGTTTAAGCCAGTTTTGTAATTGATACGAGCTAAGAATTGTGTATTGGTATGAGTAGTTGTTCATTAATAATTCCATACGATTCGCGATGGCATGCTCCATACAAGTGCGACTGTGTCAAAACTAACGAATAACATAATAGTATACCACATGATAATATCGTTTGTGCTCATTTTATATCGAATATTTTAATATTTTAAATATTCGATAAATAATAATGAAAGCAATGTGATATCGATTTTCTTCTTATCGATTCTTAATTCGATTTTGAGTTGTCAATCACGGATGTTTGCAGAACTGTAAGCGTTTGGAAAGACGCGCTTATCGGGCCCGGAAGGTTTCAGGAAGAGCGCGATCTAAAAGAGCCTTGGGCATTTACTTGTGACATGAATATTTGTATTATATAACCCAAAACAGACAGTTCCGTATACCGGATTATATTGTGAGATTATATCCTTAATAATATTTTGTTTGGGTGTATATGTTTATTGAAATAGTGAAGTATTACATAATTTCCCAATTTTATTATGAATTGTTTTCTGTACCAGGGCACCTATGCAAAATTTTTAAAATGGGCAACTTTTGTTTGTTCTTGTGTAATAAGTGGTCGGACCCAATGAACCCAACTCATAAAGTTTATTAGAGAGAAAAAGTTGAAAGAAAGAGCTACATTCTTGACGGTTGCTATGAACGTACAAATGTGTTGCTTATATTGATACGCATAAAATTTAACGTAACCATCTTTGAGCTACCAATTTGAGCAATCTAGAGCAATATACTTGTATAGTAAAAAATAAAGAGCAATATAAAGAATAGTATTTAATAATTGATAATTTGTGATTTACGCTAAGCGGTCAGTTGCGTAGCTAGGTGGACGAGGGCTCTGGTGCATAGAGAAGAAAGCAGGCTCCCATCCCCTCTTAACGCTGACCCAATTTGCTACAAACATACTGAACAATATAAAGGTAAAAAATAGCACATGCTTATGAAAGCCACTTGGCGTCATGTGTTGAAAGTCTTGAGTTCTGTTATAGTTAATGTTTTATTTATCATCATAAAAAATCGTGTGAGTAAACTCCCGGTTTTGATAACTTCGGGAGCTGGCTGCTCCTTTCTTTTTAAAGCTTAGAGGGCTTCGCGGTCCTAGAGCACTGCACCACTTGACCCTACGATAGCTACGTCGCTGTAAGCGGTATATTCTCCAGTACACCGTTTAATCTTCCACAAACGTTCAATACATTTCGATGTGCTGTCAATCCGAGCCCATGAATAAATTATGAGAGGTAGGGATGCCCAAACAAGTTTATTGTATCGATATTTAGCACCGTAACTGTATCGCATTCTTATAAATTTATGTACCAAATACATGTAATAGGGTCCCGTTTTACCCTTTGCATACCCTGTTACGATGACTCCGCTGTCTGTCTGTCGGTCCGTTTATCACCAGACGGTATCTCATGAACCATGATACTTAGACAGTTGAAATTTTCACAGATGATGTGTTTCTGCTACCGCTATAACAACAAATATTAAAAAAAAACAATAAAAAAATATTTAAGTGGGACTCCCATACAACAGACATAATTTTTTTGCCATTTTTATAGATAATGGTGCGGAGCGTTCGACTGGGCGAGTCCGACTCGCACTTCGCCAGTTACTTTAATAATACCGTCTTGCGATATTTTTGCAGGAATACGACATATCGAGGAACAACATCGCATTCAACATAAAACTATCGATATTCCAATATATCGCATAGTATCGGGAATCCCTAATGTGAAGTGTAAGTAGAATGAGCGGTCATAGTTAACCGATGGACCGACCGTGACATGGTTATGTGTGACATAAATGTATTCCGCCCGTACAAGCGAGTAATTTCAAAACTTCTTTTCGAGCGCTTCGCAATTACATAAATACATACACCCAAGGCAAATAAACTGTTGCATTGGATATGCACGCTTAATCTAGCGGCTCATGTTTATGTAGACATTATTTTATTTTTATTTGATACAAAATCCTCAGCTCTTTGTTACATCGTGCGTACATCTTATGATCTATAATTATATCCAAAAATGGATTTGTATTATTTAAGTAGTATTTTAACGTAGTAATTTAAAGTATTTTAAGTATTTAACTAAAAACAGAACTTGTTGACAGTGCGGTAGTCATTCATAAATGCGTCGTATACTTTTGAAACGAACTTGTGTGCGTGTTAATTATAAAAAAAAATGAATGTAATTAATTACGAGTGATTTTAAATATTTATCATTTTTTATAAAACATTATTTATGTCTAGAAATTAATAAAAAGAAATGGATACACTTAGAAAAGCCTCCCTGTATAGTGTGTTCGATCGATCGCTGTCCTGGTATAAGATCATATCATATGATTTAGCAATTAACTTGAATTAAAACAACTTATTTGCGAAGTTTACTTTTCTTAATGCGGTTTCTAAGCATTCACTATTAAAAAGAAGAAATTTCAAAGCATCGTAAGTTAGAGTAACAAACTAACTACAAAGCACTATTTTTAAATAAAACTATGTTACAAATTTAATCGCGTTTATTTTAAGTACCCGACTTTAAATACTTCATGGTCACGAGACAGACTGTCAAGAATGTTAAACAAAACTAAACGCGACAAACAATTAAAAAGTTTTCTTTAACAAAAGTAAGTATTTCACTTAAAAAAGTGTATATACTTACGAGTAATTATGATAAATTATTTTAATTATAGAACTTTTTATATTTGTCATTAAACCATGCTTGCTTAGACTTCATTGTTAAAATTTAATTTGATGTAATGTCTTGGACGAGTTGTGTTCGGTTCTTCTTTGAGATTGGTTTGTATTCTTTTAAACTATCTGCCAGCTTAGATAATCACTGCCTATGGCGTAAATAACTTGAATATTAACTGATATCAAATTATTCCAGATATACAAATAAGCATGTAATTCCATGTAATTTAATCAGTAAATTAATCACTAGGACAAGGTAAAGATAATTTAGGTCCTTTGTATATATATATTTCGATTTAGTCCGCTGCTTCCATTTTTGCTTTGGAACTCACCCGGCAACTAAGACCCGAGTTGGGTAACAAAACTGAACAATAGACCCCGCCTGTAACCACTTACTTACGTCTGTGTATTGGTTTCATGAGCCTAAGCTGTAGCCTTAGACTCATGAAACCGGTAACCGTAATGTTCAGATGGTAATAATGTGACAATAATTCACATCTACCGAACTTTGAAACTTTTATTGAATTACGCTTTAAATGTAAGATAAATTAAATCCAACATTTAATATTATGATAAAGGTAAAAATAAATTAATATTCATCAGATTATCCTTAAAATAAATATTACTAAGTAGATCATCATTACTCAATCTCCAATTCTACGAATATAATTATGTAGAGTCAGCGACTCCGTTAAAACAACGAATTTATTTTGTGTTTGAATGAAATGAGTAATAATGATTTATCTAACGTCAACTTATTATTAACGAACGCTTACTTGTATCACTTGTTTTACTTGTTTCTAGTTACAAAACCGAATACATTGAAATTAGAGTAACATGGCATCAATCAGCGTCTACCAAACGACGACAAAATATGCAAAAAGAGACACGCTGACCATAATATATTTATTGATTTTATTGCGAAAGTGGTTAAAATTCAATTCTACAGCACTAAAAAGAATAATACTTGTATTTAATGTTTTCTGTTTCATTGTTTCAAGATATCTGCGTAGGTAATTTAAATTCGAACATTAAAATAATCGTTGCGCAACAGAGCCGAAGGAGGGACTTTTAGTAGTAAGCGATGTAACAAAGAGCCGTTGTTGCCTTGGAATTTCTCGTTTTGAATGACGTCACTAGTCTGCTATATACATAATGTATGGCCTGCCCATTTTGTAGTGTATAATTCAGGATGAAACAAATGACTAAAACAGTTATTTTAATTATGTACGCCTACTTGTCGCCAGTTGGTCTTATTAATAAAATTTAGTGATTTATCATTTTTCTCAGATTCGTTCAGTCAACCTGACATTTTAAAATTCTTTGGGTACAATTTTACCCTTTACAGTTCATTCTTATTCTTTATTTGCAATTCCGCAATGTAGCTTAAATGGTAAAGCTTTATTTTAAGAATGATCGTGGACATCATCGTTAAGTTTAAAAGACATTTTCCATTTTTTTCGTAATATACATTCACTTTTTTTTGTAGACGTACATGCCCATTGGTGCAACAGCGAAGACTTTTGCGTGGCCCTACGCATTTCAAGAAATCGTTATATTACGTACTTTATTTGCATTTGTTACACAAAAAAAAGTTATATTACACACACATAAAATCATTATATAAAAAAGTACTTACTTAATATTATAAAGGCGAAAGTTTGTATGTATGGATGGATGTTTGTTACTCTTTCACGCAAATACTACTGAATGGATTTTAATGAAAGTT